CAACCAGTGTAGAGTAGTGCAACATTCTTTTTCGGAGCTCCTCTTGACCAAAACATCAGGACCTTCTCAATAAAACAGTTACTTGAAATTCCACTGACAGTAAATAATTGAGATCCTACTCAGAGTAAACTAAGGAGGCTATCATAAACTAGATAAAAAAAGAAAGAAAAAAACCAACAACTTACACACCAAAAAAATCAGCATCCCCAATTCTTACAACTATTAGTAGATGGTTGCAAAGAATTTTAACTTGTTCACCTCACAAAAAAATTCAGAAAAAAAAAATTATACCTTTAGGTCCTTTAAGGTTTCACTTCCAAGTGCTGCTAATGATGGTGTGACAGTGGGCTTGCCGCCGGTGGGCTCGGGCTTGGCCGCGGGCAAGTTGCCACTGCAAGTGTTGCTCCAACTTGTAGAATTGCCAATGCCCAATGGTGGTGTTACTGCCATCCACTGCAAGTGTTTCTCCCCGCCCATCACTGCAAACTTGCTGGACAGCCGCTGCAAATATTAAACAACTACTATGAATAATTTACTGTTATTTTTTGAGAGTAATATAATAATGGTTTTGATAATAACATTTTCTGAAAATATTATATTTGATAGTAATTTTATTGAAATTATGGTAAATGGTTCCTATAATAAATTTTGTAACTATTAATAGTATTTGAAGAATTGCTAATTATTAACAATAATTTGGGTGAAAAATTATTTCTAAAAAAACAGTAATTAGTAATTAGTATTAAATATTGTTAATAGTTTCAAAATTATAAATAATTACTAATATTGTTAATAATTTCAGAACTATTGATGGGTCAAAAAAATTGTTTGATTCGAGCCTGGGTTGAATGGACCTAGAAGAAGGCCCATACTAGTGGGTAGACCACCAAATATAATTAACAAAACATGGACTTGGATTTGGATCTAGATCTAGATTGGGTGGTTATCCATGACCTGCCAAAAACATTGTCTTCTTCACTCGATTTTGAGCTACAGTGATTGCTCAACTGGGCAATCATAATAGAAAAACATAATGGTATCTCTAGTGTATTTTAGACAATTAAATTAACTGATATTGGACTCTCTAGGGGTTTTGAAAAGTCATGATGCTTGGTGAGTTTAAGAGAAATGTGAAAAAGTCATAGCGAGTTTTAGATAATATGCCCTTTGAAAATTGCTATAGTTTTTTAAGGTATAGTTTCAATGTTTTTAGAATGTAAAATACTCTTTATTATCTTTTTCTATTCACCTTTTTTTTTACTAATTATTTACCATAAATTCATGGAGGATACAATGAATATGACTCAAACTTGTAATTAAGTGATGCCCTTGCTTTTCTTGTGTAAAAATAGAAAAAAATAATATTCTGAAAGTCAAATAAAAAATATAGGCAATTTATTGACATTTTTTTCTCTTAAAGTTCTTTTAGCATTGTTGTGATACAATAATGCCCATTATACTACAAGTACTGTAAAAACACTATTGGGTTAGAAATATTGCACATTTAGGTTGTATATGTTACAACCAAAAGAACTCTATATGGGGTGCAACATTACAACATTATTGTTTACAAAACAGATCAATGCAATATCTATAACAGTACAACCGAATGTGCAACATTTACGCACTATAATAAATACTTTTATAGTGGATATGTAAACCTGTTTATCTACCATTGAAATTTAGCTGAATCCTCTCCATACATGGTTTCACAAGTGTACCTTCCTGATCGATGTTTCCCTTTGATTAAGTTCATTCATGTTTCCTAATTTGATAATAATAATTACTTACTTTTGTTAATATTCTAAATGATAATTTGTTTCCATGTGTTTAATCTCTTTTAAGGGAATGTTTTGTACTTCTCGAAACTTAATTTATGTTGAATGAATCTGGCTTTATCTTCTAAAAGAATAATTAATAAGAAATGATAGACATTAATTCTATGAACCTTGAGAAAAACTTATTTTAGGAAAAGTTTTAATTGAGTTTAAAAATTGTTGAAATATATGCTCATTAATTTAAGGGTAAATTGTTGAAACCACCCTTGAACTTTCTGATTGTTGCCGAAACTTCCCCTAAAGTTTGGTAATTACAATCATCTACCCTGATGTTTTGACATAGTTACAAGTAGACCCTTTATTAGAATCCTCCAACAAATGCATGAAAATGTTCAAAATACCCATGCAGTTACTATTGGGGCTGGCTTTTATAGAAAAAAAAATAATACAAACTTTATGAACAATAATAAAGAAAATTTAAAGTTGTAGATTTGCCTTTGATTAATTGATATCAAGGGCGAATTTGATTGTAATTACCAAACTACAATTGATATCAATAGTACAACCGAGTGTGCATTTGCACACTATAATAAATACTTTTATGTTGGATATGTAAACCTGTTTTTCTACCCTAGAAATTGCATTTTATGAAAGTGTTAATTTTCATGGGGAAATTTAATTGAGTCCTCTCCATACATGGTTTCACAAGTGTGCTTTTCTGATCCGGGTTTCCCTTTGATTAAGTTCAATCATGTTTCCTAATTTGATAATAGTAATTACTAATGTTTGCTAATATGCTAAATGATAATTTGTTTCCATGCGTTTAATCTCTTTTAACTTTATATGAATGTTGAATTTCTTTTAAAGGAATGCTTTGTATTTGTCGAGACTTAATTTATGTTCAATGAATTTGGCTTTATCTTCCAAAAAAATAAGCAGTAATAAATTATAGATGTTAATTCTATGAACCTTGAGAAAAACTTATTTTAGGAAAAAATTTAATTAAGTTTAAAAATTGTTGAAATATATGCTTATTAATTTAAGGGTAAATTGTTGAACCCCCTTAAACTTTCTGACCGTTGTTGAAACTTCCCCTAAAGTTTGATAATTACAATAATCTCCCCTGATGTTTTGACACAGTTGCAAGTAGACCCCTTTATTAGAATCCTCTAACAAAGGCATTAAAATGTCTAAAATACCCATGTAATTACTATGGGGGCTGGCTTTCATAGAAAAAAAAATAATACAAACTTTACGAACAACAACAATAAAGAAAATATAAAGTTGTAACTTTACCTTTGACCAATTGATATTAAGGGTGAATTTGATTGTAATTACCAAACTACAATTGATATCAACAGAACAACCAAATATGCAACATTTACATACTACAATAAATACTTTTATAGTGGATATGTAAACTTGTTTCTCTATCCTAGAAATTGCATTTTATGAAAGTATAGATTTTTATGGGGAAATTTAGTTGAGTCCTCTCCATACATGGTTTCACAAGTGTGCCTTTCTGATTTGGGTTTCCCTTTGATTAAGTTCAATCATGTTTCCTAATTTGATAATAGTAATTACTTATGTTTGATAATATGTTAAATGATAATTTTTTTCCTTGCGTTTAATTTCTTTTTACTTTATATGAATGTTGAATCTCTTTTAAGGGAATGTTTTGTATTTCTCAACACTTAATTTATGTTCAATGAATTTGGTTTTATCTTCCAAAAGAATAAGCAATAATAAATGATAGATGTTAATTCTATGAACCTTTAGAAAAACTTATTTTAGGAAAAGTTTTAATTGAGTTTAAAAATTATTGGAATATATGCTCATTAATTTAAGAGTAAATTGTTGAAGCCCCCCTAAACTTTTTGATCGTTGCTCAAACTTTCCCTAAAGTTTGGTAATTACAATCACCTCCCTTGATGTTTTGACACAATTGCAAGTAGACCTCTGTATTAGAATCCTCTAACAAAGGCACGGAAATGTCTAAAATACCCATGCAGTTACTATTGGGGTTGGGTTCTACAAAAAAAAAATAATACAAACTTTATGAACTCGACAATAAAGAGAATTTAAAGTTGTAGCTTTATCATTGACCAATTGATATCAAGGGCAAATTTGAAAAATAAATCAACTTTGAAAAAGAGATTGAAAAGATTTGGGGTAGCAATTGATATGAAGAAAAGATTCGAAAAACAAACATTTTGGTCAAAAAATAACATCATGGGTACTTTGGACATTTTCGTGCCTCTTGTCAAAGGATTCTAACAGAATGATCCACTTGCAACTGTGTCTGAAAATTGAGGGAAGGTGATTGTAATTATCAAACTTTAGGAAATGTTTCAATAATTTACCCTTGATTTAATAGTGGATGTCAGAACATGACACTAAACAAATACAATAGTAAAATAGGATTCATGTAGACACCCCCATATAGTTAGGATAAGGTTTAAATGTTGATGATGAATTGTTAAAATATAATATGTATCAGTATATGTTTTTTCATAACTACCTCTTGTTGACAATGTATTATTAGTTAAAATGGTCTTCAATCCAATTTTATTTGGTTTCCATGATAATCACTGCTAATATACATATTTAATGACATTTGCAGTTCAATTGTATTCCCAGTTTTGTTATGTTATATTTTTCATTAATCCCCTATATGCATTTTTCTATTTTCATTTTTGATAGTTTTTTGCTAATCAAATTGTTTAAACCTCGCATATATCCCTATATTATATTTTTCCATGATTTTACATTTTGCTAAAAGTGATCTACCACATTGGTTTTTTGCAATCAAAAGGAATATTTAATGAATTACTTACTTTGCAAGGATAATTTGGATTGAGTTAGAGGCAAACATCAAGTTAAAGATTGATGTAATAGGTAATGAAGAGCAATTTATGGCTTTTGACTACCAGATATTTATGGTATCCCCACCCCTTAATCCCCATGTAATGTCTAATATGAAATACAAAAAAAAAGAAAGAAAGAAAGAAAAGAAACTTATCCTAAAAGAATGGGAATAGAATCTTATTAAATGTGGAATCCCAACAGTAGAAAAGAAAACTTTAAATTTCTACTATTTGCCAAAAGTAGTGAATCTAAAACAAGTATCTTTTTTGTATTCATTTTTTTACTTACATATATATATATATATATACATATATAGAGCTATTTGTTTGAATTTAGTCAGTCGTAAAAACCAAAATGGAAGAAGTAACAGTAGTGATAATAGGGGCTGGACCTTCTGGACTTGCAACTTCTGTATGCCTAAACAACCTTTCCATCCCTAATGTAATCTTGGAAAGAGAGGATTGCCATTCTTCTCTGTGGAAAAAAAGGTCTTATGATTGCCTTAAACTCCATCTGGGAAAGGAATTCTCTTTCCTTCCCTACATGCCACATCCATCAACCACCCCAACCTTTATGACTAAGAATAGTTTCATCCAATATATGGATGAATATGTATCCCATTTTAACCTTTGCCCAAGGTATTGTAGGACAGTTGAATCAGCTTTTTATGACAAAGCCAGTGGACAATGGAATGTTGTTGCTAAGAACAAGGTGTCCAATGAGGATGAAGTATATCTAGCCATGTTCTTGGTGGTGGCAACTGGGGAAAACAGCCAAGGTTATATCCCTGAGTTTCCTGGTCTAGACAGCTTTAGGGGGAGTTTTATCCACTCTAGCCAATACAAATCAGGGAGAGAATATGTTGGTAAGGATGTTTTGGTTGTTGGGTCTGGGAACTCTGGCATGGAAATTGCCTTCAATCTTGCCTATTTTGGAGCAAAAACATCCATAGTTGTTCAGAGTCCGGTATGATAGTGGATATTACAATGTTCTTTCTGAAATAACTTATTGATTGTATTAATTTGAATTAATATTGATGCAGGTTCATGTTCTCTCTCGAGAGATGGTGTATTTGGGGATGAATCTATTGAAGTTCCTTCCAATGTTTTTCGTGGACAATTTGGTGACCATGCTTTCCAAATTGCAGTATGGGGACTTATCAAGATATGGGATTGTTAGACCTAAAAAGGGTCCATTTCATCTCAAACAAACCACTGGAAGATCTCCTGTTTTAGATGTTGGAACAATGGATTTGATCGTGAATAAAGATATCAAGGTACTTATTACCCATGTAGTATTACATCCTCTCATATTGTCAAAGTTTCTTAATTGTCTTTTAGACTTATTTATTATAATTATGGGTAGGTTTTCCCAAGGATTTCGAGAATTGAAGGAACCAATGTGACATTTGAGAACGACAAAGTGTGGAAATTTGATGATATAATTTTTGCCACTGGATTCAAGACCACAATCAAGGACTGGCTTGAGGTATTCACTTCATTGTTTTTAGTTGTTTTGAGCTCACAACCCTTCCAAACATAAGACAGAGCTTCCTACTTTAGAGAAATAAAAGCATGTCTATCTTCCTCTTTTGGAATTAATCTAGCATTTTTTTTCTTTGACAGGTGGATGGTGACCTCTTAAATGATAACGGGATGCCTAAGACACCTTTTCCCAACCAATGGAAAGGGAAGAATGGTCTTTACTTTGCTGGGTTTTCAAGTAGAGGTCTTGCAGGGGTGTCCATGGATGCAGAGAACATAGCTGAGGATATAAACATGGCATTTGGTCATAACAAGAAAAAGTGGTTCTAAAGCATCAGGACTATAATAGTCAACTATGTTATTGGTGTATTAGAAAGGGTATTAGTAATTTATCATTGTTGTCAATTGTCTCACCGCATGATATGATATGTAATGACAATGGTTAATATAAATAAAATAATGTGATATGTAACCAATGGATTTTGTGAAGTTCTAGACTCTTACTCAACGAGAACCAAGTAAAATTGAAATTAACGTTTGGGTAAAATTGAACTGAACGACTCCAAATCTCCTACCCACGATAACTTTGCCCACGTCTACCCAAAACACTATTCCCATGCATAATACTATGTAGAAAGATGAGATGTTCTTCATATGTGGCTGCAATGATATGTGGGTAGACGTAGGTAGGAGATTTAAACTTGAACTGAATATGCCTTGAGACTAAAGTTGAAGTTGAATTCACTACTATACCCTTTGACTTTTTTTTGCTCATTACGTAATACAATATTAGCCAATCATATACAATCTTTTAAATACATTCATCCAATTTAATTAACTTAATTTGAAATATGTCACACTAATTTAAGCTCCATATTTAATGTCTTTTGTATATATTAAAGAAAAACCCTTGTATTAGGGGGCTTCTACTTTAAACAAATGGCAATCTATCTTCTAAAAAATGAATATTTATATAATGGTTTTTTTACACTTTAATAAAGTTTTTATTTTTTGCATGTGTTTATCTATTCTTAGAAAAAGTGATATCTGTTAACTCCATATTTATATTATTAATAATTTTATATTTTTATGAAATTCATAATAAAATTATGTAATAACAATATAAATTATTATTTTATGGATTATTTAATTAATTTAATAACTAAATAATATTTTAAAAACATAAGTAAATGTTGGTTTAGATTAATGTGTAATAACAATTAATTTATTTTTTGGGTTCAAAAAAATTGGTTTAGATTTTGGTGTTTTGGTACATTTTCCTACTTTAATCCATAAGGTTTTTATTGGTTTAATATAAATTTCACAATAGTTTTCTTTCAAACCTAATATAGGATAAGGGTTTAAAAAGGAATGTTAAAGAATGAATAAAATTAATGAATTGTAATGGGTTGTATGATAAATTCATTACTTACATATTTAACCATGTTTATGCGGGTTGTGCTAATAAATTAGCATTAGTGAGCAATAAATATTTTTATTGCTTTCAAAACTCACTTCAAAGAGCCTGTCACCATTAGTGAGCAATAAAAGAAGGTGTAAGCATTTAAGTATTTTACATGACCAGACTAACCCAAAAATGGCCAATCAACCTTATTAAATATTTTTATGACAAAATTATCCCTGATTGCTCATATATAATAATTATGCATATATATTTTAAGTATATGTAGGTTGGGTTAGGCTTAGGCTGGCTTGAAATATTATGCCGAGGTTTGACTCAAAAATTTATTAGCCTAGTATAGGCTTGGACCCAAGTCATTGGTAATTTTGTTATAAAAAATTATTTAATAAACTTGATTGGCCATTTAGGGGTAGTTTGGTTGTGCAAAATATTTAAATGCTTATGTGAACAATTTATGTTAAAGGTCGATAATAGTGATCTAATGGAAAGCTTAACGAAAGGTGAGCTTTGGACAATTAAATTCACTGATATAGGGTTCTCTAGAGGTTTTGAAAAGTCATGATGATTGGTGAGTTTAAGAGATGTGAAAAAGTCATGGTGTGTTTTAGATAATATTTCTTTTGAAAATTGCTACAGTTTTTTAGGGCATAGTTTCTATGTTTTTAGAATGTAAAAAAACTCTTTATTACCTTTTTCTATTCACCTTTTCTTTACTAATTATTTACCATAAATTCAGGGAGTATACAATGAATATGACTCAAACTTGTAATTAAGTGATGCCCTTCCTTTTCTTGTGTAAAAATAGAAAAAAAAAACTCTGAATGCTAAATAAAAAATATAGTCAATTTATTGACATTTTTCTCTCTTAAAGTTCTTTTAGCATTGTTGTGATACAATAATGCCCATTATACTACAAGTACTGTACACTATGGGATGCAATATTGTTGTTTGCAGAACAAATCAATGCAATATCTACAATAGTACAGCCGGGTGTGCAACATTTACACACTACAATAAATACTTTTATGGTGGATATATAAACCTGTTTCTCTATCCTAGAAATTGCATTTTATGAAAGTATGAATTTTCATAAGGAAATTTAGCTGAGTCCTCTCCATACATGGTTTCACAAAATGTGCCTTCCTAATCTGGGTTTCCCTTTGATTAAGTTCAATCATGTTTCCTAATTTGATAATAGTAATTACTTATGTTTGCTAATATGCTAAATGATAATTTGTTTCCATGCATTTAATCTCTTTTAACTTTATCTGAATGTTTAATCTCATTTAAGGGAATGTTTTGAGAAAAAACTTMTTTTAGGAAAAGTTTTAATTGAGTTTAAAAATTGTTGGAATGTATGCTCATTAATTTAAGGGTAAATTGTTGAAACCCCTTGAACTTTTTGACCGTTGTTGAAACTTCCCTTAAAGTTTGGTAATTACAATCAACTCCCTTGATATTTTGACACAGTTGCAAGTAGACCCCTTTATTAGAATCCTCTAACAAAGGCACGAAAATGTCCRAAATACCCATGTAGTTACTATTGGGGCTGGCTTCTAGAGAAAAATAATAATATAAACTTTATGAACAACAATAATAAAGAGAATTTAAAGTTGTAGCTTTACCTTTGGCCAATTGCTATCAAGGGTGAATTTGGAAAATAAATCAACTTTGAAAAAGAGATTGGAAAGATTTGGCGTAACAATTGATAAGAAGAGAACATTCAAAAAATAAACATTTTTGTCAATAATAACTTTATTGGTATTTTGGACATTTTCATGCCTCTTGTTAGAGGATTCTAGCAGAAGGATCTATTTGCAATTATGTCAAAAAATTTAGGACCTACTTTGG